CACCCTGGGTGTGCAGCTGGATGACAAACGCAAGGAGATGCTGAAGCGGCACCCGCTGTCTGTCACCATCGACCTGAAGTGCAAAGGTAAACTGGTGCTGGTGGCCCTGGGCACAGAGGGGTGCGAGAGCAGGTCAAGGAGCAACCTGCCACAGCTCAGTGCTGGAAGGGTCCTGACAGGTCTGCAGAGAGCAGCTGTTCCTTGCTGTCTTAGCAGGGCAGCAGCAGAATGTGTGTCCCTTCCTACAGGAAGCTCTGAGTACCGAGTGCTCCAAGCCAGAGCATGAAGCAATATTTCTCTTTCTTTCTGGCACAGATGAGAATGTGCTTCACCTGACCTTCTACTACTTGATGAACCTCAACATCATGACTGTGAAGACCAAGGTGACCACTGCTGCTGAGCTGGCGACTGCCATCAGTGCTGGGTGAGCAGAGCCCCGGGCTGTGTGTGGGTCCTGTGCTGTGCCCAGAGCTTGTCACAGTCACCCTGCCCTGATGTCCTGCCCAGCTCTGCTCATGAGCACAGCGATGCAGCACCAGAGGTGTGGTGGCGATGTCCCTCTGCTGAGCTGTAGGCTAACAGCCTTCTGTGCCCTGTGAGTCCCAGCTCTGTGAGAGCTGTGGGTGAGGTTTTATCCTCAGTCCCTCTCTCCTCCTTACCTGGGGCATCACTGATATCTTTGTGCAGTTGTAGGGTCTGATTCCTGCTAGAATGGTAAGGAGGCCCTAAAGAGCCTCTGCACTTCTGTGTGAGGAGTGCTTTCACCTTGCAGATCTATCCTGCCCTGACAGTGTCCTCCCTGTCAGCAGCAGCATGGCCTTTCTGGGAGTCCTGCCAAGCTGCTGCAGCTGCCAGCATCCTCCTCCTCTTCATCTGCCCCATCCCCCATGGCAAAACGGGGCAGGCTGGGAACCTCTTAGAGCTGGAGGGGAACCTCTCCTCCTTGTTGCCTTTGGTTGGCATCTTGCAGCCAAACTGCTTTCCTTCCTCCTGCAGCCGTTACCTGGCAGCTCCTTTCAGCTGGTTGATCCACAGGTCACCTTGCACTCAGTACCAGAGATGCAGCTTCCTTTCCGTGGGCTCCCCAGGGACTGCTTAAGCCCGATCTGTGTGAGGACTGGCTGCAGTGGCAGCTTTGGGAGCTTGCCCAGGGAGCTCAGGTCAGCTGCAAGCTCTCCTAGGCTGGAAGGTGGCTGAGGAAGAGGGAGGCAGGAGAAGGTGGCATGAAATACCCAAAAACAGACGCTGCCTCCCAGGCTGTTCCCATGAGGCCTCCCAGTCCTCCTGGGTTCTTTTTCCCCATATGTACCCACACCCCTCCATGCCAGGCCTTCCTGCTGGGATGAATCATGTAGAGGAGTCTCCTTAGCCCTGACTCGTTCCCTGGTGAGACCCCTGCAGGCAGGGTCCTTGCTTAGGAGACGCTGTGGTAGCAGGATGTCTCTTGAGTCTCCTGTGACCCAGCCTAGATGCTCTACAGCCCTTTATGCTTCCTAGGGCTTGTGAGTGTGGTCAGACGTGAAGAAATGTATTCTTTTTTAGCAGAGGGATTTTACTTCAGCTTGTTGGCTGGCATGCCATGCAGACCATGCCCTCTGCATGCTATGATTTCTGCTTTTTCCATACCCAGATTGCCATCAGTAGGTTTCAGAGTTTGTGCAGCGTGCCTCTGAGCAGCTCCTGGGAACTCAAAGAGATGGTGCACTGTGATTTCCAGTTTCTTTACAACCAGGGAGGAGACAGATTTTCAAGAGCAGAACTATGGGAAGACCACTCTGTGTGTCATGAAACCCAGCTTGGGGGTCATCCATCCCCAGTCTCTGGGCTCGTAGCCTGTTAGCAGGTGCCCCAGAAAGATGTGAGGCCTGGGCTGCTGCATGATTCCTCTCTTCCTTCTCCTGCCAGCGACTTGCTCTCCCCAGACTCCCTCCTGAGCTGCCTGTACCCGGGAGACCATGGGAAGAAAACCCCCAATCCAGCCAACCAGTTCCAGTTTGACAAAGTGGGGTGAGTGGACCTCGTGCAGCCGGTGTCCTGCTAGTTGGCATTGGCTCGGGGTGGAAGAAGATGATGCCTGCTCCCTCACGGAGGAGGAAGTGCTCTGTGTGACCTTTCCTCTTTGTTCTTCAGCATCCTGACCTTGAGTGACTACGTGACAGAGCTGGGGCATCCCTATGTGTGGGTGCAGAAGCTGGGTGGCCTGCATTTCCCCAAGGATCAGCCTCAGGCACGTCTCACCCCTTCCCTCCCCTCCCCTCCCTGCCAGGACATCGGGCTGAGCTGGCAGGGCTCTGGGGAGGCTTTGGGGACACTGGTGTCCCCTCCCTGGCAGGGTGCTGATGCTCTCTCCTCCCACAGCACACTGTCACTGCAGACAACTCGCTGAGCGCGAGCCACATGGAGATGACCATGAAGCTGCTGAGGACGAGGCTGCAATCCCGCCTGGCTCTCCACAAGCAGTTTGCTTCTCTTGGTGAGTGCCTGGGGAGGCTGTGCAGTGGCTGGATCTTCTTGCACAGGAATGGTGCCTAACCTGTGTCACTCTGAAGGGCTTTTATGGGTCTGGACTGCCACTGTCCCTCTGCTCTGTGGTGTCAGGGCTCTGAGGTTGCCATGTTCGTGGTGGGAGAAGGTGGCTGTGCCCCTCTCGATGCCCAGCATCCCTTTGGAGCCAGCCATCCTGGCTCTGGGAGTTTATTCAGGCTGTGGTGATAGGAAAACAGCGTGCCCAAGCACCCCTGGAGCAGACCAGGCACGTGCTGTGAGGTCCTGAGCGCCAGCAGAACTGCATTTGAGGCTGCTGCTGCTTTCTGGGTGCCTGGTGAAGTTGTCAGAAGGATAAAGAATGTCCCCAGGTCCCAGTACTGCTGTCACCCGTGGGGCAGGCAGAGAGCTCATCCCCAGCCTGCCCCGCTCAGCCTTGTGCTTGCTTCCAGAGCATGGCGTGGTGCCGGTGTCCAGCGAGTGCCAGCATCTCTTCCCTACCAAGATCGTGTCCCGCCTGGTGAGGTGGGCTGCCATCCCCTTCGAGGATTACACGGTAGGTGCTGAGTGGGAGCCTGGATCCCCTCCAGCTCCCGTGCTGTGCCTTGCAGCCAGCAGCTGCTCACTCCCTGTCATCTCCCCTTGCAGGAGCTGCCCTACACTAAAGACGTGGTGGAGGCTGGGCTGGCTGAAGACACCCATCTCTATTACATGGCCCTGATAGAGAGGGGAACAGGTCGGTGTGTTTCCTTCCCCCGGCGATGGCAAATAGCAGCTGCCTGAGTCCTCCACACGAGGGAGGCTCTGTGGGCCGTCATCGATGTTTCTTCCTCGCCTCGCTCAGCCAAGCTCCAGGTCGCTGTGGTCCTTAATCCCGGTTACTCCGCGCTGCCACCCATCTTCAGCCTCTGCCTGAACTGGAAAGGAGAGCGAACCGGCAGCAACGATGACAACATTCGGGTAAGCGATCGGGGCAGCTCCCAGTGCTCCTGTCCCCTTGGTAAGGGTTAGACTGCTGGCTGGGAAGAACAGAAAACCAAACTTGCAACGCATCTGCATCTGCCAGGCTATGGAGAGCGAAGTCAACGTGTGCTACAAGGAGCTGTGGGGGCCCAAACCGGGCTACCAGCTCCTCACCAACCAGCTGCAGCGCCTCTGCATGGTGCTGGACGTCTACCTGGAGACGGAGCCCCACGACACCACTGTGGAGGGGCCCAAGGAGTTCCCCCAGGAGAAGATGTGCCTGCGCCTGGTCAGGTGAGAGCCTGGGGCTGTGCTGTCCCTGCAGGCAGTGAGCAGAGGGGGCTGAGATGCTGGTAGGGACCCTGCTGGCAGGCATTGCTGTCCAGGCACGTGGTGACAGAAAGGCCTGTGAGGGTCAGCCCTGCACAGTTGAGCTGCACCCCGGGACCTGTCCCTTTCTGTGAGTGTGCTGAGCTTACCAGCACGTCGGGCCTGCTGGGATGGGAGCAGACCCCCGTGGGCCAACCTGTCCCTCCTCTTCTCTTCTAGGGGCCCCATGCGCTTGAAGCCGTTCAAGTTCAACTACCCTCAGGGATTCTTCAGCCACCGCTGAGTCCTGCTGGGCTCCCCTGCCTGGGCATTGCTTTGGGACCTAGCCTCATCCTGTCTGCAATGTTCCCTTCCCGTCATTTCAGTTTCTTTTATGATGTTTTGGGTCTCATTTGAGGTTTTGTAACTGAAGGGATTAAATGCTGAATTGGAAGAAGTGTGTGTGTGTGCAGATGGCTGCGGTGTGGGGACCTTGATCCTGGTGGTGGATCCCTTCCCTTCTGAGCTCTTCCGTGCTTCTGTGTCCCATGGGGGCTGGAACCAAGCCCTGCCTCCCCATTTGGGCCCTGCCTGCCTTCTTTCCTCCCTCCCACTGCAGGTCCTCGGTAACAGGAACTGAGCTGGCTAAAAATAGTCCTTCCTGCACTGCAGCCCCAGCTGCCAGCTGACTCGGCACAAACCCCAGAGCACAGCGGCAGCTTGGAGCTCTGGGCTGGGCTGTGCCCCCCTCCATCCCGCACAGCTCCCCGCTGCAGCTCCTGTCAGAGCCGGGGCTCTGGGCTTCAACACTGGGGGCGCTTGGTGCCAAAGTGACTCTCTGGGAAAGGAAGGCTGGTGGAGCCTTTTCCCCTCCCCTGGAGGCACTACAGGTGTGGTGCTGCAGTGCAGGGCTGTGCTGCAGCACTTGGCTTAATCCGGGCGCTGGCAGTCCTTGGGGAGCTGCCATTTAAAAAGAGAAGGAATTCAAAAATTGCCTTGGTGGACTGTGGTGAGGACTGGCCCTGTTTCCATCCCTTGAGCTGGGCCTGCAGCCCTTCATGCCCGCCCGTGAGCTTTCCCTGCTGCAGGCAGGAAGGTGGAGGACTGCCCCATGCTTTGAAAAGCCCGTGTCACCCTCTGTGTGTCCCAGCCCTGTGTGACAGTGCCCAGCAGCCCTGGCACAAGCCTTCCCTGCATCCCTTCACCTCCTCCCCTGGGCCGAGCAATGACAGTGAGAGCTGGTGTGTCTCTGTAAGCACTTTATTTGGTTATTGCACATAAGCAATTGACAGTGGGCTCGAGTTTCCTAGTGCACGTCGTATTTCCGTGGGCATTCCTGCAGTTCCTAACCTCTTCCCCGAAGCCAGCTACAGCTGGGGCTGCTACCCAGAGGGCCACTCGTCACCCCAGCGAGGGAAGGACTCTGCCAGCCAGCCCACGGCACACCTCCCAAGCAGCTAGAGCTCTGAGTTGCACTTGTCCATCGATTGCACATACAATAAATAAATGCACTTATTGGAGAAGGGCAGTCGGTTCCCCCGGGGTCTGTTTTCCTCGTTAGAACTCAAGTGTTAAATGTGGCGCTCTGCATGGATCACATTCTGCTACTGAAGCGATCGGAACATACCACTGGCGTGGGGCAGCGAGGGGCTGTGTCTCTCACAAACATATTGCTAAGGTAAGGCCTGGCTGGGGGGGACCCCGGGTGGGGACCGTCCCCGTCTCACCCTTCGGAGGGGAGCGGAGCAGCTCCAGCTCCCGGAGGAGCTCCGCTCATTTCTTTCCTGCAGCGGGTGCCGGCTCTGGGGCTTTGCCCTCCTTGCTGGGGGGCTTCTCAGCTTTGGGGGGCTCTTTACTGGCTTTGGAGTCGTCTTTGGGTTTTGATTTGGGGTCTTCCACCTTCTTTGGTTCCTCCACCGTTTTCTTTGGTTCCTCCGCCTTTTCCTCAGCCTTAGGCTTCTCTGGCTCCTTCACAGCTGCTTTGCCAGCCTCCTGCTGAGGCTTTGGTTGAGCATCCTTCTCAGCTTTCCCTTCTTCTGCAGGTTTGGAGGCAGCCTTGGTCTCCTTCACCTGTGTGGCAGGAGGCCCGGCAGCTGCCTTCTCTTTGGGCTTCTCCTCTGCCTTGGCTGGAGCATCCTTCTTGGGAGCCTCATCCTTCCTGCCCTCTGCTGCAGGCTTGGGGGAAGCCTTCTCCTCCTTTGGCTGCTCTTCCTTTGCAGGGGCCTTGGGCTCCTTTGGAGGGGAGGGGACAGGCTCCTTGGCTGGGGCCACTTCCTTCTGCGGGGACTTGGCTTCCTCCTTCAGTGGAGATTTGGCTTTTTCTGGGGACTTTACAGTCGAGGTCTTGGCCTCCTCCTTTGAGGGAGACACGGGTTTCTCTGGGGATTTGGCAGCTGGGGTCTTGGCCTCCTCTTTTGAGGGGGGTGTGGGTTTCTCTGGGGACTTGACTGCTGGGGTCTTGGTTTCCTCCTTTGAAGGGGTTGCAGGCTTTTCCGGAGACTTGACAGCCAGGGACTTGGCCTCCTCTTTTGAGGGGGTTGCAGGTTTCTCTGGGGACTTGACAGCTGGGCTCTTCGCCTCCTCCTTTAAGGGGGTTGGTGGCTTTTCTGGGGATTTAACAGATGGAGGCTTGATCTCCTCCTTTGTAGGGCTCGGTGGCTTTTCTGGGGACTTCACAGTTGGAGTCTTTGCCTCCTCTTTTAAGGGTGTTGCAGGTTTTTCTGGGGATTTGGCAGGTGGGCTCTTGGCCTCCTCTTTTGAGGGCACTGGGGGTTTTTCTGGGGATTTGACAGCTGGGGTCGTGGGTTTCTCTGGGGACTTGACAGGTGGGCTCTTGGCCTCCTCCTTTGAGGGGCTTGAAGGCTTTTCAGGGGACTTGACTGCTGGGGACTTGGCTTCCTCCTTTGTAGGGGACTCAGGTTTCTCTGGGGATTTGGCCTTATCTTTTGCAGGAGACTTGGCTTCTTCTTCATCCTCTGGTTTAGCTTTCTCCTCTTCCTTCTCCTCTTCAGCTTTCTCCTCTTCAGCTTCTTTCTCAGCCTCCTCCTCCTCAGTCACCTCCTCAGTCACTTGGATTTCCTCTGTCTGCTCCTCCACAATCACTGTCTCCTTCTCAGATTTCTCCACCACCTTGATTTTCTCCTCACTCTTTACCTTGATGTTGGTGGCGATGCTGGGAGCCTTGGGGATCACTTCAGGGTAGGAGACCATTCCAAAGCCGGTCTCAATCCTATACTCCTCCCCTTCCAAGAGCTTTCTGCCAGGAGAAGACCAGAACAGGGCCATCAGCAGCTGCACCCACACCACGCAGCAACCTCTCCCTCCCTTCATCTGCATGCCATCACCCCGTGAAGGCTTCCTCACCCTTCCCTCCACAATCCCTTCGCTGGTATTGGAGGACTTACTGCTGTCTTACTAAGAAGGACTCCAGGTGCTAGCAAGGGCCTTCAAGAAATGTTCTCACGGATGCCAGCACTGGGGACTAGCCAAGACATGCACCCCCATTCCCTTTGCCAACCCCATACCTATAGGCAGCAATTTCAATGTCCAGGGCCATTTTGACGTTGAGCAGATCCTGGTATTCGCGGAGCTGAGCTGCCATCTCCCACTTGGTGTTTCTCAGCTCATTGTCAAGCTGCTGGATGGTTTCCTGCAACAGACAGAGTCACTTGGTGCCATGCAGGGAGCAAAGGGGGGAAAATGCTGGGGCTCTTTCAAGTTTGTCCTTGAGGGAACCCCAGAGCCTTGCACCACTCCAAGGAGAGCTGCAGTACTGTCAGTTGGCTTTTCTCGGGCAGGGGCAGCCAGGGGCAATGTATCTAGACTACTTGGTCTGCTGGTCACTGCAGTCATCCTACCCATCCTGAGGCTGATGGGGTTGGAACATCTCCCTGGAGACAGGGTTTTAGTCTATAGCTACCACAGGGTACAGAAATCTGAGCTGCTGTTCCCAGTGCTGCGACATGACATGGTCTGAACCCTGGTCACTATTCAATGGCATTTGTGATCAATGTCATGGGCAGCAGACACAAGGGACAGTTCCATTGCAGGTGCCAGACACAGCAGCCTGGATGCAGCCTTGGCTCTGGCTGTCTGAACATCAGGAGCTGGGGAGAGCTCAAATGTACTTGCTGCTGACATCAGCATCCCCGAGGCCACAGCCCCAGCACTGCTCTTCCCTGACAGCTGGATGCTCCCTCTGCACCAAGTGACAGATCTGGGACTCTGCCCACTGCGCCACGCTACCTGATAGGAGAGGACATCTGCATGATGGCGTTCCTCCGAGTCCTGCCTCTGCCTCTCCAGGGACTCCTGTGTCCCTTTGAGGGCTTCGAGCTCAGTGGTCTTGGACTGGAGCTGACGGCGGTACTCAGAGATCTCCTCCTGAGCCACGCGCATGGCGTCTGTGTTCACCTTGGCAACTTCAGAGAGCTTGTCCAGCCTCACTGTAGCAAGGGAAAGGAAAAGCTGCAGGGACGGAGGGAGACTGCAGCCTCCCTTTTATGGGGGACGGCAAATCCTTTAATACCACCACTTCCCTGTGTGTGTGCCCTCTGCAGAGCGAACCCTGCAGGGTGTCCATTCCCAGGCATGTGAAGACACCAGAGCAGGACAGGCTGGGCACTGCTTTTCTTCATCATGGGCTTCTTGCAGCGAGAACAATTTCCCTGTTCCCTTGAGCTCCTGCCACCATCTTTTGCATCATCCTGCTCCCCTCCCCAGCACACCTCCTCACCGTGCCAGATACACCACCCAGAAGGGCAGTGGCGGGAAAGGATGAAGCAGAGATTGCCACAAGGGCTTTAGGGGACGGGGGGAGGTGGAACGCAGTGCCCCCCGCCCCGCAGAGCGCCGCGCTCGTGGCCACGGCGCTGCCGCTGTCCGCGGTGCTGAAGTGCCGCTGTCCGCGGTGCTGAAGCGTAGCTGCGCCGCTTCCCAGGCGCTGGTGCCGGGGCGATGGCAGCACGCCGACGTGCGCCGACCCCCGGGGTGTCGCCCCCCTCTTCCTCCCCCGGTACCGTAGTGCCCCTCCGAACAGCGCATGAGACACGCCCTATCCCCCCCGCAGGGGATGCGGCACCCTCTCCCTTCGCTATGCTGCAATCCCCGCAACACTTTTGGCCCCGCTCCAGCGGGACTCCCTGCAGCATCGGGGGGTGTCGGGAAAACCACCTCGCTGCCCTCCCCCCAGAAATCCGCGGGGGTGGTGGTGCGTGCGGCGCCCCTCCAAACGGGCGGGTTGGGGTTACCCTCCCGCCCTCCCGGAGCTCAGTGTACACGCCTGGGCGGGGGCACCGGCCGTAACGCCCACCCGCAGCCCCGCAGGGTTCCCTCCAGGGGAAAAGAAGAACGACGGATCCCCTTCTCCCCGGGATGTGCCCGCGGAGCATGCAGCGGGCTGGGTTATCACTCACCGCGGAACCACTCCTCGGCCTGCAGAGTGCTGCGTGCCGCCGTGCCCTCCAGCTGCTCCCGCAGGTCGCGCAGCGCTGCGGTGACCCCGGGCCGCAGCGAGGCGGGGGGCTCAGCGGGCAGCTCGGCACGGGCACCGCGCAGCAGCGCGCCCACCTCGTCCTGGTGCTGTTTCCGCAGCAGCTCCGCTTCCTCCCGCAGCGCTCGGGCTCGCTCCGCCAGAGGCCCCCGGGCCCTTTCCTCCTGCGCAGAGCGCTGGGCCAGCCCGCGGGCCGCCGCCTCCAGCTCGGCGCGCTGTCGCGCCTCCTCCTCCAGCCTGCCCCTCAGCGCGGCCACGTCCTCTGCCAGGCGGGCCCTCTCCAGCCGCAGCTGCCCCTTCTCGGCCCCCAGGCGCACCAGGGCCCCCCGCATGTCGCGCAGCTCCCGGGCGTACAGCTCGCCCATGGCCGAGCGCCCCGCCTGCTGCTGCCGCAGCGCCGCCGCCTCTGCCGCCAGCGCCCGGTTCTGCTGCTCCAGCGCCCGCACCCGCTCGATATAACCGGCGAAGCGGTCGTTGAGGACCTGCAGCAGCTCCTTCTCGTTACGCGCCCGCGGTTCGCCGTTCAGCGAGTCCAGGCTCTCGGTGGAGGAAGCGGCCGCGCTTCCCCCGCCGCCGCCCCGCGCTCGCCCCGCCGGGCCCGGGGGTCCCGACCATGAGTGGAAGCCGCTGGAAGAGGTGGCGGAGCGCGGAGCGAGGCGAGAGGGCTCCTTGCGGAGCCCCCCCGGGGGGACCAGCAACGCCTCCAGCACCAGGCTCATGGTGGCCCCCGCCCTCACTGCGGCACCGCTGCCGCCGCCGCCTGCTTTATAGGGCCGTCGGGGCTGCCCCGCCTCTCCGCCGGCACGGGGACGGGGACGGGCACCGGCAGAGGCACCGCCCCGAGCCGCCGCCGCAGCCCCGAGGGCGTGGTGGGGGGGGGTTCCGGGGAGCGGCCTTCGGGTTGGAAGTGGGGAGCCCGGGGAAACGATGGGAATCCTACGGGAGGGAGTGGGGCCGCCCCACAGGAGCATAGGCTCCTACGAGGCTTCATCTCTACTGCAGGTAGGGGTCGAGAACTTTTGGTGCTGGAGGATCTGCACTGCGATGGGGTCCCCATGTTTTGGGACAGGACCCTGGGCAGCACTGTGGGGTGTGGGGTGCATGGGGTTGTCCTCGGGTGAGCAGGGGGCTAGGAACCAGGATAGAAGCCCATCACCCTGCTCCTGCTTGTGTGAGGCAACTGGCACGTGGGGCATCCATTGCTGGAGTCCGTGGAACACCCAGCGTTGGCATCCGTGGTGCACCCAAAGCCAGCATCCATCGAGCTCACAACACCAGTGCCCAGTGTCAGCACCCAGTGTTGGCATCCAAATGTACCCAACGTCGGCACCCAACGTCTGCATTCACAGAGCACCCAATATCTGCATTCACGGAGCACCCAACCCGTGGAGCACCCAGCGTTGGCATCCACATGCACCTAACGCTAGCACCCGCTGCCTGAACTACCTGAGATCTGTACCCAAAGAGCACCTAACATCTGCACTCATGGGGGGCCCAATGTCTGCACCCGTACGGAGCACCAATGCTGGCATCCATGTGCACCCGGTGCCACCCCTCGTGGGCACCCAGCCGGAACACACGCTTGGACCCCAGCAGGCAGAACCCACGGGGCGCCCACACAACCAGCGCCCACGGACCGCTCGACCTGGTGCCTCGCCGTCCCCTCGGCCAATCAGCACTCTCCGATCACCCCATCTCTGCGTCTCATGGCCAGCTGGCCAATCAGCGCAGCAGCATCCCAGCCAATCAGCACCCTGCCGGGGGGTCCCTGGGGGTGGGCTGGTGGAGGGGCCGCAGCCCCATTGCGCGCTGGGACGCTGAATGACATCCCGCTCTGCTGCACGCTGGGATGCGGGGTCCCCGTGTGCTGACCTTGACAGCCCGCTGTCCTGCGCATCCCATCCTCCCGACTCATCACTTTTTTTTCCGTTTTGTTTTTTGCTTTTTTCCCCCCCCCACACTGCGTGGTGGCGAGGATTGGAGCGTTGGCGCACGGAGCTGCTGCAGTGCCGGGCAGCAGTGGGATGCAGCCCTGCAGCCAAATCCGCGGGGCCGCTCTGGAATGGCCACGCAGCCGTCACTGCGCCGAAGGGCTGTGATGTGGCCCCAGTGCTGCTGGGGACACGGGGGCAGTGGATTCAGAAGGATGACACAGCGTGTGCTCCTGCACTCCAGCATTGTGTCTCTCTGTCCCACGTCCCCCATCCACGTCCCCCTGCCCTCTGCCTTTTCCCTTCTGCTGTCGCCAAGCTCTGCCCCACCCCATCTCCCCCACATAGCCTCCCCATCTCCTGTTGCCACTCCCTGCCCCATCCCTTGTTTCAACCCGTGTCCCTTTCCTGTCCTATCCCGTGTCCCTGTGCTTTGTCCCCATCTCCTGTCCTGTGCCCTTTCCCAGTCCGGTCCCTTCCCTTGTCCCACTGCCTCTCCTACCCCTGAACCCTCTCCCCACCCTCTGCCTCCCCCATCCCATCCCTATCTCCTGCTCATACCCCATTTCCCCACTCCTGTCCCCATCTGTCCCCACGTCCTATGCCATCCCCTGCCCCCATCCCGTCCTACCTCATCCCCCATTTCCCCTCTCCCCATCCCATGCCCCCTGTCCCACTCCTGTCCCCACTCCCCTATCTTAACCCCACTCCTTATCCCCCCATTCCCAACAGCTATCCCATCTCCCACCCCCACACCCTTTTCCCATCCCCATTCCTTCCTTTACCCCACCTCGTGTCCCCATCCCCTGTCCGCCAGCCATTTCCCATCTCTTGTCCCTTCTCCCACATTACACCCCTCCTCAGTCCCCAGTCCCAATATTACTCCGTATCTGCAAGCCCCATCCCATGCCCTCACCCCATCCCCATCCCTTGCCCCCATCCCCTATCCCCATCCCATGTCCCCATCCCCATCCCCCTGTCCCATACCCCTATCCCATACCCCCATCCCCATGCCCTCTATCCCCATCCCATGCTCCCATTCCCACACCCCTATCCCCATTCCCACACCCCTATCCCCATCCCATCTCCCCATCCCCGTGTCCCCACGCGCTGTTCCTGCTCCATTCCCTCACTTGCCCCCGCCCCCTTCTCTAAGCCCCGCCCACACACCCCACCCTCTCCCCAAATCCCCGCCCCGGAAGTGCTCACTTCTCACTTCCGCTGGGGCCAGGGGCAGCGGGCGGCGCGGCGGGCCGGTACGGGCGGGGGGCGGCGGGGGCCGGGAGCGGAGTTCCGCCATCGGAACCGGCGCTGTGCGCGGCTGTGTGCGGGCCTATCCGCGCTTCTACCGCGGGTATCGCCACGGGTTCTGCCCGGCCTCGGCCCCCAACGGGGATCTGCGGTGGGGGGCGGTGAGGAACCGAGGGGTCTGGGGGGGCAAAATGCTGACGTTTGGTGATTGGTTCCGCTGCATCTCCTGGCAGGGAACGCGGCGGCACCATGACGGACTCCAAGTATTTCACCACCACCAAGAAGGGTGAGGGGGGGCTGCGGCGGGGCACGGCGCTGGGTGGGGGTCCGGGGGAGGTGCTGCCCCGGGGGGCTGGGGGGGCTCACACACACACGGGGGTCGGGGTCGGGCGGTGCCGTGTGGGTTCGGTGATCGCTGTGGGTCTTTTCTAGCAGCTGTGTGGGCCTGTGAGTGGAGATCTTCCACCCGGGCTGAATGGAGAGGGGTACTCGGCAGCCCCCGGTCCGCTGTGGACCTGCTTAGGATCTCCTTGCTGACCCCGTGCCTTTCCTGCAGGGGAGATCTTTGAGCTGAAGGCAGAGCTGAACAGTGACAAGAAGGAGAAGAAGAAGGAGGCGGTGAAGAAGGTGATCGCCTCCATGACTGTTGGCAAGGACGTCAGGTGTGTGCATCCTCCTGTCCCACAGACTGCAGTGCAGGCTCAGGAAGGAAAAAATCACCCTGGCAGCTCTTCTTCTCCCTTAGCTCTGTGCCTCGCAAGCTCACAAAGCTGCTTTTGCCCAGGGGCTGTGCTTCAGACACAGCAAAACCAGGCTCCTTAGGCCTGGATGTGAACTTGCAAGCACAGGCTAGTTTTAGGATCACACAGCAGGGTTGTGGAGTCATCTGGGACGGAAAATACCTTCTAGGTTGCCAGCTTGGTCTGGGGAAGAGAAGGCTCCAAGAAGACCTCATTTCAACTTTCAGTGCTGAAAGGGAGCTCATGAAAGAACGAGAGAGTGACTTTTTACACCAATAGTAATAGAAGTGGGAATGGTTTTAAACTAAGAGGGGGGGAACTTAGGTTGGGTGGAGATTCTGTACTCAGAAGGTGGTGAGACCTTGGCTCTCTATGGTGGTCTCTCTTGGCTCCCGTTCCGAGAGGTGCTCAAGGCCAGGCTAAATGGGGTTCAGTGGCTCTCCCAGGACAGAAGGGACACATGGCAGCATGGCATCATGTCTGTGTTAACGCTCCAGTCCCAGTCGCTTGCCCTGAGATCTGTGGTGCTTCACATTGCAGCGCTCTCTTCCCGGATGTGGTGAACTGCATGCAGACGGACAACCTGGAGCTGAAGAAGCTGGTCTACCTCTACCTGATGAACTACGCCAAGAGCCAGCCTGACATGGCCATCATGGCTGTCAACACCTTTGTGAAGGTGAGGGAAAGGGGCTGTGAGGCAGCACTCCAGCCCCCCGTCACCAAAAAGCCCTCCCTCAACAAATCAGGGCTCCCTTGCATGGGATAAGAGAGCAAAATTGCCCCGTAGTGCAGGAGGAAAATGGTTTTTGGTGGTGGTGGCTCCTGTGTTGGAGATGCTTGCTGCAGAGAATGTGATCTTGTGATCAGGAGCTGGGGAGTGTGTTTGTTGGAAGCCATGGGGCCACCAAATCCTTTTGTGGAAAGGCTTTCCTGGAAGTTTTGGTGTTTTTAAAAGAAAAAACAACAGCAATAATAGTGATGGGTGTGTTCCCCAGGCTGGGTGGCTGTTCTGTGGGCTGCTGGGTGGCTTTTGTCCCTGGTGTAAGCCGGGCACACGCCTGGTTCTGGGGTGTATTTGGAGCAGGAGCCGGCAGGGTTAGAATTCAGCACACTCCAGATAATGGAATGAGGCTGAACTCCTTCCATGGGACGCACTCACTCCACTTGAGAGCTGAGTGTTAAAACCTCAGGGCTTCAGGAACCCGAAGGAAAGTCGAGGTCCTGAAGCTGCCGCTGGTGGCCGTGGCTGGAAGGGCTGGAGCTCTCACTGTTCTCTGTGGCCACGCAGGACTGTGAGGACCCCAACCCACTGATCCGTGCCCTGGCCGTGCGGACCATGGGCTGCATCCGTGTGGACAAGATAACAGAGTACCTCTGTGAGCCCCTGCGCAAGTGCCTGAAGGATGAGGACCCGTATGTGCGCAAAACGGCGGCCGTCTGCGTGGCCAAGCTCCATGACATCAACGCCCAGCTGGTGGAGGACCAGGGCTTCCTGGACACCCTCAAGGACCTCATCTCGGACTCCAATCCCATGGTGATCAGGCCTTGCTTTCCCTGTCTGGTGCAGCAGATGTCCTCGCTCATTTCTGCATCCCTGTATCCTTGCTCCCGTGTTCCTCTTCATTTCTTGATGCTTTTTGGTGCTTGTCAGACCACTTTTGTCGGCAGCTGTCCCCAGGGTTGCTTCTCATGTCCAATAACTGTCTCCTGGCTCCTTTTAGATGTGAGATTTCATTAATTCCCATTTGTTATTAGCTTCTGCACCCTACGGGGAGCAGGAAAGGCATCAAACAGGAGTTGCTGGCTGGGAATGCTGCGATGCTGCGTGTCTGGCTTCTCACGCCAACTTGGAGTGATGTGATGATGGTGGTCTTCTGCTGTTTTCCTGCTGAGGGTGACTGCAGGGAGGGACAGGAGGAGCACAAGGCTGTAGGATTTGCCCACCCAAATTGCTGAGCAGCGACGGGGGAAGAGTCACAGTGTGGGTGGTAGGGACACATGATGATAGTTCATCTGCACATCAGCTGGTGGGGAGGAGAAGCTGGTGCCCAGATGTCAGAGCGAGAGCCCCACGCTGAGGATGCATCTCATCCGTTTGCAGCAGCTTTCCTCCAGAGCCACGACCGCCATCCCGTCGTGCTTGCTGTCCCTTCACACGTGTCCCATCCCCTCTGGCAGGTGGTGGCTAACGCAGTAGCAGCGCTGTCGGAGATCGCCGAGTCGCACCCGAGCAGTAACCTGCTGGACCTCAACCCCCAGTCCATCAACAAGCTGCTCACAGCCCTGAACGAGTGCACCGAGTGGGGGCAGATCTTCATCCTGGACTGCCTGGCCAACTACATGCCCAAAGATGACCGGGAGGCCCAGAGGTGAGGGAGCTGGGACAGGGCGCAGGGGCAGCAGGGTGATGGCTGGACGGGGCTGCTGCTGCCTATTCTCCTCCAAGAAGTGCCTTCATGCTTCCCTCTGTGCTGTTCCCCACCCTTGGCTTCCTGCTGCTGGGGGAGGAACAGCTGACATCAGCATAGCACTGTTCCTGGGGACTCGCAGTCTCTCTGTGAGCGCTGTCCCCACACTGACACAAACAACAGACTTTTGCAAGCATGATCTTATGTGCTTCAAGGGAGAGCAGGCTGGGCACTAGGGAGATCCCACTGCAGACAGGGCTTTGCTGGGAAATAACCATTATCAGGAGCCTTGAAGAGCCAGCTGTGCACCTCTTGGGAGAAATCTTAAACCTGCTTTGCCACAAACTCTGCTGACACCTCGTTCTTTGGTGTGCTAAGCAGGACGCCTGCCTCTGACTGTTTCCTTTCCCTTTGCCCTCAACCCCCGCAGCATCTGTGAGCGGGTGACACCCCGGCTGTCCCACGCCAACTCTGCAGTGGTGCTCTCAGCAGTGAAGGTGCTGATGAAGTTCATGGAGATGCTGTCCAAGGACCTGGATTACTATGGGACGCTGCTGAAGAAGCTGGCCCCGCCGCTCGTCACCCTGCTGTCTGCTGAGCCTGAGCTGCAGTACGTGGCTCTGCGCAACATCAACCTCATTGTGCAGAAGAGGTGGGTGTCCTCCTGCCTGCAGGCACCGTGTCCCAGTGTGCTGGGCCTTCTGATGGCTGGAATAGCGTCCAGGCTTTGCTGACACAATCCCTCGTTTGGTCTTTTTTGTCACTGAAATCCGAGGGCTGGGCACAGAGCATCAGCTGAGGTGATGGGATTCACTGAATTTATTGCTTATTTTGGGGAGTGAGGGATGGAAAGACTAAAAGCTGAGGTGCTGGATTCATCATCTTAGCCTAACGAGGGATTTTCATGAGAATGGCTTGTTTCTTTGTAGTTGTCCTTATCAGACAGGCAAGTCCCAAAGGTCCTCCTGTCCTTTGGCTGATCTATTGCTACTGTTGGAGGGCAGGAGGTGCCTGAGGCCCCTCGTTTGTGTGCAGGGCAGCGAGGGCCAGCTGGAGAGCTGCAATCAGCTGATCCATTGCCCCACTGGCATCGCTGTTATTGCCTATTAAAAATAGCAGCAACTTCTGGGAGAAGTGGAAAGTAATTAATGTCCCTGTGAGCAGGAATGTGGAAAGCAGGTTGGCTCCTTGGGGGCCTGGCCTGTCCCCTCCCCAGCTTAGAGGCTGTTCTGGTGAGGAAGGTCCAGTTTGGCCCTGGGCTTTGGGCTGGCTTCCCTGCTTCCTTGAGTTGTTCAATCCAACCTTGCCAAGGCCAGCACGCCCTGTTGCCGTGCATCTGGTCTTTGTTTGTGGCAAGGTTGGTCTGTGTTCCGTGTGTGTCAGCAAAAGGGAATCAAGGGCCAGAGTTCCTAGGTGGGGGAAGATCACAGCATCCTGGACTCCTGAGAACTGAGCAGCCCCCAAACCTTCTTCTGCTTATGGCCAAGGAGCAACTGCAAGCTCTGCTTGCCTTGGCCAGGTCTCTTAACTGCTGCCTCTCCTTGTCCCCCAGACCTGAAATCCTGAAGCACGAGATGAAGGTGTTCTTTGTCAAGTACAATGACCCCATCTATGTCAAGCTGGAGAAGTTGGACATCATGATCCGCCTGGCTTCCCAGGCCAACATTGCACAGGTTGGGGTCTGGGTGGGCACAGGGGGCTTGGCTGTCCCTGTCAGTGCTTCCTGCCTGCCTTCCCCGTGCTTCAGTACCACCAGAGCTGCGGCTGCCAGGTTTGGCCACAGTTCGGCAGCCAGCTGGGATCTGGGGTGTTGTGTTGGGCAGATCAGTGGGCTGGTGTCTCTCCTGGCCACCAAGTGCTCACCACCGTGTCCCTATGGCAGGTCCTGGCTGAGCTGAAGGAATATGCCACAGAGGTGGACGTGGACTTTGTGAGGAAGGCAGTCCGAGCCATCGGCCGCTGTGCCATCAAGGTGGAGGTGAGACTGGTGTGGGGAGGGACAGGGCAGCCTTGTTGTGCCACCCCCACTCACTTAGTGTTCTGCTGGTGGCCATAGTTAAGGATACATTGCTCTGCAGCCTGTGATGGATCAGCTGAAGGCTGTTGCATCTCAGGGCTGATCTCCCAGGAGATAGGAACGGACCAGGGCTGTTCCATTGGCCACAGGGAGCATGCTCCATCCCTGTGCTCTGGGTTGGGTTAGGGGAGCGTGAGAGGGGTGTGATGTTGTTGGATGGGGCTGTGAAGGCATCGCTGACCGAGCCTCTCCAACAGCAATCAGCAGAGCGCTGTGTCAGCACCCTGCTGGACCTCATCCAGACCAAGGTCAACTATGTGGTGCAGGAGGCTATCGTCGTCATCAAGGACATCTTCCGCAAGTACCCCAACAAGTATGTGGGGAGGGGGCAGGGCTGGGCTGCCTGCTGTGCTCCCCGTGCTGGCAGGCACGGACTTGGGTGTCTGGAATGGAGGTGGAGTCGTGATAGCAATTAGTAAACTAGAAATCTGCACAGCTATGTGGGGATGGAGGAAGGATGGAGAGCAGACGAGGGAGGCTGGCATGGCCGGTGTCACAGTGCACATGAAAAGTGTGTTTTGCTCAGCAAACAGCCCTGTGCTGTATCCAGTGTCCTTTGAGTCTGGATATGAAGTAGTGGTGTGTTCTATCCTTGGCTTGGTTTCTGTTAAAGTCATTCTGAAAAGAGAGATTTATGTAAATCCTCCCATCTTTCCTCCAGTTACCCAAATTCTCTCAGCACAGATAATTAAAAATCCTCACACGTGCTGAAAGCACAACTGTGCTGAGAGCAGCTCGGGTGCAACCAAGCATGCCTGTTTCAGTGTTTGCTTTGTGAACTTCCCAACGGTCAAACAGAACCATCTTTAGGTGGTGATGCATTGTTTACGCTCCCCTTTGCTTGCTTGAAGTCTTCCATTAGGAAAACAGGAACTTTGGGAGCAGCAGCAGTCCTGCTACAGGTGATGGGGTGATTTTAGAGAGCAGAGCTTTTTGGTGACGTGTCCTCATTCTGACAGGTATGAGAGTGTCATTGCCACCCTGTGTGAGAACCTGGACTCCCTGGATGAGCCCGAGGCACGGGCTGCCATGATCTGGATCGTGGGCGAGTACGCCGAGCGCATCGACAACGCTGATGAGCTGCTGGAGAGCTTCCTGGAGGGCTTCCACGATGAGAGCACCCAGGTGCAGGGGGTGGGCAGTGTGGATGCGGGGCTGGTGGTCGTGCTGGTGTCCCAGAGCAGCCACCGCTGTGAGATCCTGGAACAAAGCATCCTCCTGGATGCAAAGCATCCTCTGTGAAATGCCACCCCATCACCTTCCTTTTCTCAAGGCTGGAAGGGGTCAGCTGCTCACGTGTGCTGGCACAGGATCAGCCTTTTGGAACTGGAAAAGTCCTGGGCTCAGTCCCAGCTGCTTTAGGCTGCCCTTTAGCTGGGGATGGTGGTATCACCCACCAGCTGTGCAAAATTTCCTTGCACCTGCTGTGCCAAATCCTATCCCAGCACCGTCTGCAGAGAGCACTCATGTTCTTCCTTTGTGTGTCTCACTCTGGTGCCCACAGGTCCAGCTGCAGCTGCTGACGGCCATCGTGAAGCTTTTCCTGAAGAAGCCCACCGAGACCCAGGAGCTGGTGCAGCAGGTGCTGAGCCTGGCCACTCAGGTGGGTAACAGCTCTGTGCCCAGCAAAGCGTCCCTCCAACCCTGCTGAGCCTTCCTGAGCAGTGGCAGGTCGTGATGACACAGTGCCCATCCACAGGAGGTGGATGATAGCTTAAATGTGGGGAAGTTTGCTGTTAGAGCACACCACGTCCTGTAGGATGTGCTGCTTCCTCGTGAAAGTCAGTGGTGTCAGCATAGCAGAGCACAGTTATTTAGCTTGGGGAAGGCTTCCAAAGCCATTGAGTCCAACTGTTGTCATGGGATGCAACACACCTGTGACTTACTCTTATACCACAGCAAGACTTAAATGGGGCCAAGGTGGTTGTGGCTGTGGGATGCTCTACAGCTTCCCTGCCCCATGGCCTTGCTGCTTACCCTCTGCTTCCCAAAGGACTCTGACAACCCTGACCTGCGGGACCGTGGCTACATCTACTGGCGCCTGCTGTCCACTGATCCTGTGGCTGCCAAGGAGGTGGTGCTGGCAGAGAAGCCACTTATTTCTGAAGAGACAGACCTGATTGAGCCCACGCTGCTGGATGAGCTCATCTGCTACATTGGGACGTTGGCCTCTGTCTATCACAAGCCGCCCAGCGCCTTCGTGGAGGGGAGCAGAGGGGTTGTGCACAAGAGCTTGCCCCCACGAACGGGCTCGTGAGTGTCCTTGTTGCCTGCTGTAGGGATGGGGTTCTGGGCCATCCAGAACAGGGTGCATGCAATGGGGATGGACGTGGAGCTGGACTGACTGCTGTGGTCACAGCATGACCCTGTGAATGGAGGGAATGGTGCCCTGTAGGAGCATCTCCAAGCAGGAGCAGTATGAGCTCCGTGCTGTGCTGCCAGGGCTGGAGATCTCAGGTGTGAGTAGAAGGTGAAACTGACAGAAATGCATTGAGGAGGAGTCCTATTGGAATGGGACGTCTCATTGCAAACTGCAGCTGAGTGCCCCTCAGCTGTGGGGAGTCCACGAGCCACTGGCTTACCAGGAATCTTCCAGCATCTCATGCCTGTCCCTTCTCCTTTGCCCCAGGAGTGAGAGTGCCGAGAGCCCCGAGGCAGCCCCCTCAGCTGGGCAGGCAGCGGAGCAGCCGGCCGTCATCCCCGCACAGGGCGACCTGCTGGGTGACCTGCTGAACCTGGACCTGGGACCCCCAGTCAGTGGGCCTCCCCTGGCCGCCTCCTCCGTGCAGATGGGAGCTGTGGACCTCCTGGGAGGAGGCCTGGATAGTCTGGTGGGTTGCCTTGCTGGGGTTTGGATGTGGGTGGGCGGGCTCCTGCTTGGAGCTTTCTGCCTGGGGACATCTGGGCTAATCTGTTCCTGCTCTAGCTTGTGATCAGAGGGGTGCTAATTAAGCTCATCCCTGTCAGATGGCTGGAGCAGAGCTCCATTCCTGCATGTGAGTTCCATGCAGCTTTCTGCTGTGGGTGTCCTATGGACCTGCTGTGCTGCTGGGGGAGAGGGGCGAGTGGTTCCTCTTCTGACTCCCTCCCCAACCCCAGGCAGCTGCATGATTTGGGGACCTGCCCTGCTAACCCCAGGGTGCCCAAACCTGTGGGGAGAGGAAGAGGAGATGTGGTGGGACTAACCTGTTCCCTCCTGCCTTTCTTTTCTCTCTCTGTTTTTGTCTCTTCTCTCCTGGCTTCTCTCTGCATGTGCCTGGCTCTTCTCTCTGCCTTGCCTGCTTCTGCTTGGAGATGGGGGACGAGTCGGAAGGGGTATGGATCCTTTTCTTAGCCCCTAGCCCCTGCAGTGCCCATGTCCACCTTCACAGACCCCCTGTCTCTCTGGTGATAGCCAGCCAGCCCCAAAACTACTCAGCCTTCACCTCTCTTGTTCCTGGTGTGTGTAGGGAGCTCAGCTGAGGTTTGAGCTCAGCCCCGCTCAGCTAGAAATAGAATCTCCGCGGTTGGAATAGACCCTCAAACCACCAAACCCAACCAGAACTGCATCTCCTGAGCCCCACTGCTAAACCACACACCCATGTCAAGGAGCACCTGTCCCCTCTGTGCTCAGGAGCACCCCCAGTGGCCCCAAGCCCTTTTGGAAGCACCCTTTGCACCAACAGCAGTCTCTGTCTCTTGCAGCTGCGCAGCGATGTGGGAGGCAGTCCTGCTGTGAGTGCCCTTGCACCCTTTGCCTCTTCCTCCTCCTCTTCCTCTTCTCCCCTCCTCCTTGCCACTGTGAGCCTGACGCTCCCTTGTCCCTGCAGATGGGTGGCAGTGGCTTCACAGCGCCCGGCCCCGCAGCACCAGCTGGTATGGGAGCACCTCTTGGCAGTGGCCTGGGGGACCTCTTCGACCTCACCGGGGGAGTGGGCACTCTGTCGGGGTCCTACGTGGCACCCAAGACGGTGAGTGGGACGGCAGCGCTCCGGTGGCGTGCTGCTGCTGCCTTGGGCCGAGAGCAGCAGGCACCAAGGTGTTCGGTTTGGGTTAACCTCTGTGGGTGTCGTGTCTCTGCCCAGGTTTGGCTCCCTGCCATGAAAGCCAAGGGGCTGGAGATCTCTGGCACCTTCAGCCGGCAGGTGGGCGCCATCTCTATGGACCTGGTGTTGACCAACAAGGCCCTGCAGGTCATGTCTGACTTTGCAATCCAGTTCAACCGCAACAGGTGAGGCGTCTCCTAAGCTGTGGTAGCGCTGGCTGGTGAGAATGCTGGGTGTCGCCTCCTCAGCTCAGGGAAGGGTGAGTGGGCAGGGCTGTGGTGGCATCTGCCGGGGAACAGAACAGCCTCACGTGATGATCCTTCTCTCCCTGATGGCTCCGATGGTGATGGACATCAACCCAAAGCCTCTGAGAAGTTGACTGAGGAGGCTGTTTCCTGGGGCATGACCACCTCCCCAGGCATGGATGGCTTCTTGTTTGTCCCAGTGAATGCAGAGGAGCACAAAAAAGGAGGTGCTCCTAAATGAGGTGGTACACAAATGCTAAAAATGAGTGGAGATCTGGAGGAGAAAGGTGGCAGACTTGGGGGATGCCTCTGCTTGCCCCAGCGTGGGCAGGAATGAGTTTGGACTCTTTCGTGTCTGGAGGAAATGATGGTGCAGGTAGATGAGGCAGTTCCTGGAGGTCCCAGAGCTGGTGGGATGGGGATAAGGATAACAGTGGGATAGCAGCCCTCACCCAGTGCCGTGTGTCCCCCCAGCTTTGGCCTGGCCCCAGCTGCCCCTCTCCAGGTGCACGCACCCCTTGCCCCCAACCAGTCGGTGGAGATCTCCCTCCCACTGAACACAGTGGGCTCTGTCATGAAGATGGATCCCCTCAACAACCTGCAGGTGAGAGCACCCACGCTTTCCAGGGGGGCTCACAGTGGGACCCGCAGGTTTCCCTTCTATGTGCTGACATCCCAATGTCCTTCCTTCCATCCAAGGTTGCGGTGAAGAACAACATTGATGTCTTCTACTTCAGCACCCTCTACCCTCTGCACATCCTCTTCGTGGAGGATGGGAAGATGGGTGAGTTGGAGCGTGGGTGCCATCCCATTCACTGAAATCCTCCCAAACACATTCTTAGCCCTGGGGTTGGAGCTGGGAGCCGTGGGCAGTGAGAAACCCATGGGAGTTTGGAGCATGGATGTCAGCATCACCACAGTGTGGTACCCAGGGTGACTTGAGCCACATTCTGCCCTCTTGGTCCTTTGGGAGCTCTTGCTGTCCAGTCCCTGGCACTTCCCAGCCTCTTCACTAAGGCAGCTGAGCTTGCTGACTCCAAAAGTGAGAAGCTGAGTGAGACAGATCTTGGATGGCTGCTGGAGGGATGCTGCGATGGTGTCTCAATGCCCAGCCCCACCAGAGCATGGCCCTGTGTTGGGATTTGAAGGGCTTGGATCCTGCTGTTACGTCAGTGCCTTGCTTTGTTCTGGCTGCAGAGCGGCAGATGTTCCTTGCCACCTGGAAGGACATTCCCAATGAAAACGAGGCCCAGTTCCAGATCAAGGACTGTTCCCTCAATGCAGGTGAGTCCAAACCCTTCACAAGGCTCTTGGTAAGACACGTTCCTTAGAGTTGGACTTGGTGGTCACCTTCCCCCTGCTGTGGGGAGCTGGGAGCTGCCCTTATTCCTGCTCTGTGGTAACAGAGACAGTCACAGCAACTTAGGGACTGCATGCCTCCATGTGAGAGGTGGTTTGTTGCCTGTATTCAGGCAGTGCTGGGCTGAGCTAGGACTGGGAAGCCCCAGCCTCATCCCCACAGGTCTGGATCCTCCTGTCCTTTCCCCAAAGTCTCCCTGTCTCTAGGCAGGAACGTTCTGCTCTGGTTGTAGAAACACGGCCCTCCAAGAGATGTGACAGGGAAAATGGGGTGGAGGCAGGGCTGGGTCCAGCAGGAAATGGTGCTGAGCTCTTCCTCTGCCCACCCAGATGCTGTCAGCAACAAGCTCCAAGGCAGCAACATCTTCACCATCGCCAAGAGGAACGTGGAGGGCCAGGACATGCTCTACCAGTCTCTGAAGCTCACCAATGGCATCTGGGTGTTGGCGGAGCTCCGCATCCAGCCCAGCAACCCCAGTTTCACGGTACGGCCCGGCCCCTCCTGCCCCCTGCTCAGTGTCACCCTGTGTCCCTCGGCGTGCCCTCCGTGGGGTTGCAGCAGCAGGGAGGCAGCCACCCTAGCAATGTTGCAGAAGGAAGCTACAAGGTCCTGGCTACCCAGTCTCCCTCCAAATGGCTCACTGTGCTGGGGCTTTGTTCCCTTCCCCCCCCTCCTCACAGCCTTTCTCTTTGGGATGGTTGGGATGAGTTCTGGTGCTGACTCATCTCTCTGTGTCTCCCTTGCTACCCGCCTGCCCACTGCTGCCTGCCCCGCTGTTGCAGGACTTGGAGGTTAGCAGAATGGTTTCTACCCTTGCTTTTTGGGCTGTACCTGGCTGCTTTTCCCTTCCCTGATGGTCTGGCAGGGTCTGACCATTTCCATCAGTCCTGCCCTACTGTGGGTCTGCTTTGGATGAGTGTAGCTGCAGGTCCTTGTCCTGTGCATATGTGCTCAGCTTTGCCCTGCAACTCTAGGAGCTGAGAGCATTGAGACATTAAAAACAACTTTGGAACAAATGCAGGGTTAGGAGATGGGGAAATGCCCAGGGGAGCCACAGGCAGAGGGTGAAAGCGTGAGCCAAGATGCGTGCCTGCTTCCCTGCACGTGAATGTTGCTGTGGGGCTGGGGAGGGCATTGGGAGCAGCTTGATGTCTTCCCATGGGTGTGTTGAGCCTTCAGGTGTGCCCTGCAGGTGTGTGTGATGGTGGGGCATGGCTGCACACTGCAGCCCTCACACGGCTGTGTCTCCTCTCTTCCCCAGCTGTCACTAAAATGCCGGGCTCCCGAGGTCTCCCAGTATGTGTACCAGGCCTACGATGCCATCCTGAAGAACTGATGGTGGGGCAGGAGCTGCCTGCATGTTCCCTCTCTTTCTACCCTGAGCACGGAGCCGTCGCTTCCCAGGAGGGTGGAGGAGGAGGATGGGGGTGTCCCAGCCCCCTGCCCCACATTCCAGCCCCTAGGTGAACTGTGCCCTGTCCTCCCTGTTGGCTGTTCCTGGAGGGAGCCCAGCTGTGCCCTCTGTTCCCTCCCCAGCTCTGCTTCCTTCTGTCCCCCCCCCCTGGGGGGATCTGGATCCAACACTTCTTGTGCTGGGGGTCCCCTCCCTGGGCTGGCTCAGAGCCTGATAGGGGCTGGTTGGGGGCCTGAGAGCTTGGGGTGGGTCATGATGAAGGTCTCCCCACGTGGGTGGTGCTCCTGATGCTCTCAAGACCTCAAATTCAATTCTTTACCCATGTGTGCTGTACAAAAAGGGCTTTTTCCCTCCCCTGCAGGGCTCCCTGTGGTTGCAGGGGGGTACCAGCACGGACCCCAAGGCCCCAGAGCAGCTCCCTCCTGTCCCCCTTCTTACTTGGAGGGGCCCTTTCCCCTGTCCTGGTGGTGACATACATTGTCCACCCTGCCCCAAAATAAAGCCATCCATCACTCCTCAATAGAAACGTCCGGTTCAGGTTTTCAGACCCTGTCGTGAAATACCTTATAAATATATAAAATATAAATATATTCTATGTTCACTTGTTTTAAGCCAGCCTGGAATAAAGGTGACATTCGCCCACACAGCCGGCATTGTGTCTGGGGGGTCAGGGGTGGGCTGGGAGGAAGGATGATGCTGTGACCTTCCTCTGGGCTGTGTCCTTGTTATTGCTGAGGTAAGTGGCCAGGGACTGCTTGGGGCTGTGCCTGGGGTGGATCTGGGGGAAAAGAGTGGGGAGAGGATGAAGAGGAAAGGTGGAAATCCCAGAACCAGCTGGAAGCAGCTCTGCAGGCAAGGAGCTGAAGTTCACTGAGAGCTGGCTGCATGTCCTTGTGCCAAAGGAGAGTGCAGGCTTTAGGGTGGAGGTGGCCACGTTTCTGTGGCTTTCTCCTGTCATCCCAAAGTTGGGAATAAACTCATTTAATGCAGTGTTAGCGAGCAGGCATTCTTTATTCATGATGTCAGATGTGTGATGGGATACTTCCACCCCAGCCACACATCTTTGGAACAGAAGACCTTCAGCTTATATATATTACAATACATCACAGAATGGGTTGGAAGGGACCCCAGGGATCATCAGGTTCCAACCCCCTGCCACAGGCATGGCCACCAACCTCCATACCCAATACCAGAGCAGGCTGCCCAGGGCTCCATCCAACCTGGCCTTAAAGGCCTCCAGGGATGGAGCATCCACAGCCTCTCTGGACAGCTGTTCCAGCACCTCACCGCTCTCTGTGAAGAACTTCCCTGATACCACTGTGCTGGGAAGGACTCAGGAAAGGACAAAGGGGGAAGTGCTCCCAGGCAGCCCTGAGCCATGGGCATCACCCTGCCAGGGATGCTTCACAGGAAGCCAAGGGTGCAGCCCCATCCCCAGCACCTGCAGCTCTACGGACAGACCTCTGTGGACAGATGACAGCAGGCAGGCTCAGCTCCTTCCTTGGGCTTTACTGGCTCCGGGAGCTGCAGGGCAGCCTGTGCTGGGGGAGATGCTGCAGGGGAAGAGGGGACGTCCCCTGGGTACGGGTCATGGTGACGAGCTGCGTGTCCCCAGGTGGGGAGAGAGGGAGGGATGGAAGGTGAGGGGAGCAGGACGGAGCAGAAGGAAGAATGTTGAAGAGCAGAGGAGCTGAGCAGAGCTGGCTGCTCCCAGACCCGTTCCCAACGCCGTGACACAGCTCCTGTCAGCACTGCGATCACACCCAGGTTCGTCAGCCCCCTCCAGCGCCGCCGTGACAGCATCCATTCCCACCGTGCCCCAGTGCCCGCACATCCCACTCCGGGGGCCGCAGCCACCACCTTGTCCTTCTCACGGCCAGGCGTCCTCCTGCAGCCCCTCCTCTTCCCGCGGTGCCCTCCCAGGCTCCAGCAGCGAGGCCAGGACGCTGTGCAGCGCCCTCCAGGGCGGGGGGGCCGGCAGGGGGCCGGGGTGCAGGGATGCGGGTGGGCTTCCTGCCCGGCTGCGCGTCCAGCCGAGGCCGGGCACAGGGCCGCAGGGCGGGGGATACGGGGATCCCCGGCACGACCGCGGTCTCCATCCCCTCGTCTTCCGCTGCTGGCACCCACTCGGGGTCAGACTCGGCACCGGAGGCCGGCACGCAGCTGCTCTCATCCGAAGAGCTGGAGGGGCGGCCGCAGCGCTCCTGCGGGTGGGGGGCGGCCGGGGGACCCCCATTGCGACGGCCATCCTCGGGCAGACAGCCGTGCTTGTTGCTGAGCACGTTGAGGGAGGATGAAGAGGACGAGGAGGAGCAGTAAGCCGAGTCGGCGGCCGCCCCGCTGCCAGGCTCCAACGTCCCGTGCGTGGGGCGGGCGGGGGGCGAGGGCTCACCGTCCCCCAGCTCCATCAGCCGCGTGTTGGCCAAAAACTCTTCCTCCAGCCGCCCCAGCAGCTGCTGTTCCTGCCCGGGTTCCAGACACAGCGGTGCCCGCAGCCTCCTCGCCAGCTCTTCCAGCTCCTCTTGGAAGGCGTCCCCATCCCTGTCCTCAGCCCCGTCCCCAGGCAGAGAGGAGCGCCGAGGGCCGGAGGGCCGCATCGCGGCGCGTGGCGCACTGTCAGCACGTGTCCACGAGTGCTGCCCGTCGCGTCCGCGTCGGATCAGCAGCACGGCGTCAGCACCGGGCCGGCCCTGGCTGCGGGCACGTGGCAGCCCCGGCCCGTTTGCGACACGCGGCCGGCCGCGCTCCTCCCCGCCGCCCGGAGCGACGGCGGTGCGCAGGGGGAGGGGGCTACGGTCACCCGAGCGGCTGCGTCCCGGCGGCGGGCGGCGCGGAGAGGGGCAGGCGGCGGGGGGAGGGCGGTGACCCCGCGGAGGTCCCACTGATGAGGCTGATGAGGAGTCGCTGTCCCCGGAGTGACGGCGGGTGCGGGTGGAGTCTCGGGGCCTGGAGCGGGGAGAGAGAGAGGGGCAGGGCAGGGCAACTGCGTGCACCTGCTGCACGTCCCACTGCACGTCCCACTGCACATCCCCTTGCACAACCCATTGCATGCCCCATTGCACGCCCCGATGCGCACCCAACTGTGTGCCCTACTGCCTTCCCCCTGACCTCTTGCATCCCCCTGTGTGCTCACAGGGCTCAGCCTGTGAGAGCATCCCTCTATACGCCCCTTGCATTGCCACCGCACCCGCACCGCACCCCCACCCCGCACCCCGCACTCAGCGCACCCCCCGCCGCAGCCCCTGCATGCACGCCGCGCGGCCGCAAGAGGGCAGCACTGCGCCTGCGCGGCAGCTGGGCGGGAAGCAGTGCGCATGCGCAACAGCAGGGCGGGAAGCGGCGGGGCGGAGCTGGGGCTGTGGGGGGGGGGGGGGGAAAGGGGGGAAGCCTTAAGGGGGTGCGGGGGGTGATGTGTGGCCAAGGCCTGCATGGTTCCGAGGTGCTGCTGTGAAGCCCAGGCCTGCTGTGGAGAGGGGCTGTCTTTGAGGGCTGAGGCCTGCTGTGGAGCCTTCTGTGGGGCTGTGGGGCTGAGGCCCTGCTATAGACCTGAGGCCTGCTATAGGGCTGAGGCCTGCTGTGAGGCTGAGGTCCTGCAATAGGGCTGAGGTCATGCTGTGGGGCTGAAGTCCTCCTATAGGGCTGTGACCTTGCCGTGGGGCTGAGGCCTGCTGTGGGGCTGAGGCCATGCTGTGGGGCTGAGGCGTTCCCAGCTGCCAGGTTTCCCAGCCCAGCCCGCCCCAGCCTGGCTTCCTTCCCCCGCCACGCAGCAGTGGTCAGTTTGGGAAGCGTTGCCATAGCAGTGGGCCGTCCCCATCCTGTCCCGCTGTGCCAGGCCCTGTGTCACGGCCAGGCCTGCCCTGTGCCCCCCCTGTCCCGGCTGACTCAATGGCTCCACTGTACGTCACAGCACCGGCCGGGGGGGGGGTGACAGTGGGACCCCCACCCCACAGCACCCACAGACACCGAGCCCTACCTGAGTGCACTGGCGGGGCTCCTGGATGGGCTGGCAGGGGCCCGGGGGGGCAGGACGGCTCCAGGCGCAGACTTCGGGGTGCTGCCTCGCTCCGTCCTGCCATAGCCGACGTCCCCCCAGCCTGGTGTCCGCTTGTCCCCAAGGCTGGTCACGTCAGCGCGGCGTGGGGTGCTGGGGCTGGGGGCGTGGGGTGCGGGGCTGGCACTGCTGACAGCAGGTTTTGGTGGGGAGAAGGCCAGGGTGCGGGCGGGGGGCAGGCGGTGAGCTGTGAGAGAAGGGAACGGCGTGGGGTCAGTGAGGGGCCCTTCCCACCCCTTGTGCTGCACGTGGGTCTGCCGGCAGTTAAAACAAACATTTTCTCGCTCTTTTCTCATTCCAGTCACATCTGTGCCCTGAGCTGCCCATCCCAACCCATGGCAAAGGAGCCCTGGAAACATGGGAGTGGTGAAACATGCTGAGGTCAGACTGACAGCGGGGGTCACTCACACAGGGAGGAGCAGCGGCACGGGTCGTGCTTGTCCAGGTAATGTTCCAGTGTGTCCCAGCCACCGCCGACACGCACCATGACGTGGCTCCTCAGCACCTGGGGAGAGCACAGCACCAGTCACACTGCTCCAGTCACACTGCTCCCCACTCCCCAGCCAAAACAAGCAGGTTCTGTTTGCCCGCCCCAAGCTGATGGGCTGCGGAGGGGTTCAGCAGAAGGGAAGGGAAGGATTAGTTTTGTGGGGAATGAACTTAGTGTGAATTTGGGTAGGTTAAAGGGTTTCCCGCTATGTCTGGGACAAGGGTTGGTTCCACTGCCTGAATCCTTGGGAACTGCAGGGCTGATCCTGGCCACGAGCAGTGCTGCTATCTACGGGGCCGTGCCAGGACACAGCTCCCTGTTCCGCTTCCCGACGTGATAAATCCTGTCCCACCCCGCAGGGTCAGGCCGGGGCACCGAGCGGCGCAGCACCAAACCCGGCCCCAGCTCAGCCCCACGTGGGGCCCCCAGCACCATGTCCCCAGGCCCCCCCAGCTCCCCCCCAGAGAAAGCAGTGGGACGGGGACGCGGCGGCTCTTACTCGAACAAAGATCAGCGCGTTGGAGTCTCCCACTTTGTATTTACCCTCTGAGATTTTGACCATGGGGAACTGGGCTGGGCACGTACAGCAGCCCAGGATCTCCCGCACCTGCGGGCAGAGATGAGAGCTCAGTCGGCGGTGCTGCGGTGGGAGCAGAGCCTGCAGAGCCTCCCTGGGAGAGGGGCCCTGGGCGCTTCCCACGGCCAGGCAGCGGAAGGAGCCATAAAAATGGATTTTAGAAGCCCTGATATCCTCCTGCCTGCCCAGACGTGGACCTGGGATCAGTTTTCACGTGGGTTCCCAAACCAAGTGGACACAGCTCAGTTCATCCAGCACAGCTCCACTCTCCAAAGCCCCCCAGGGACCCCAGATTGCGGACACCGCAGCCCCCCAGGCACCCACTGCACGGCTGGGATCCCCTCAGGAAGGAAACCCCCACGGGGCAGTGGCACCACGCTGCCACAGGGAAGGGACCACACAGCCCCCCCACCCACAGTTAGGCACAGAAAAGGGTTAAGTCACCGAGGTGCACGGGGCTGGAAGCAGCAGCAGCAGTGGGCTGACGTCAGGGATTAGGCAGCGGGGGGATGTGGGGACGCGGCCGCATCCTGCTTTGGCTGCTGGTGTGGCACAGCGCGTGGTGCAGCGCGGGCACAGAGCGGCTTGGGGGGGGGTGTGGGGCCAGGGACCCCCAGGAACAGCCCCTCCTCTCTGGGGTCAAGCTGGGGCTCGGCATTGGCACGAACCCACCCCAGCAATGGCTGCTGTGACGGCACCCACAGCACCTGCAACTCCAATCGCTGCCTTCACCGGCTGAGCGTTTCTTTTAGCATTTCCCCTTTTTTTTTCTTTTTTTCTTCCTCTTTTCTGTTCATCATTCCACATCTGATTGCCCCCAACCCCTCAACTGTGGGGAAACCAAGGCACGGGGTGTACGGCCAGTGGGAGCTGTGGGCCCAAGCCTGCCACAGTGACAGGGACACAGGGACACGTGCCGCCAGCCCTGGGGACCCCGCGTCCCCCGATGCAACCAGGCCAGATCCAGGCTCCTCCCCGGCTCCAACACTGCCCATAAAAGCCCATGGAGAGGCATTACGCAGCCCGGAAAAATGCACTCCGGGTTGGCAGCACCCAGCTGTGGGGAGCGGGGCAGGTGGGATGCACGTCCCCCAACGTCCCCCTCCGAGCTGCACGCTGCCAGGCTTAGTGAGGTACTGGGTTTCAATTAAAAAAGGCTTTGGGATTAGGGGATCAGAGCAGGGCAGAGCCTCCCACCCCTCCCCAGCCCCGTTAATCTGGCATCTGCCCGGTGCATGGGCTGCATCCTGCGCCCAGCCCAGCGTTAATCCCAGCTGAGCGGCTGGTCTGGAGGGAACAGTGTCCCTCTGCTGATCATCATGGAGGGCAGTGTGGGGCGGCAGCCGTGTCACCCCCATCCCTGGGAGGAGGAGGAGGTGGTGATACCCACATCTTCCCTGTGATTACGGCTCCAAAATAACCCTCCCATGACGTCCGGAAGGCACGGAGCCCAGCCGGGCTGTCCAGGACCTCCCACGAACCACAGAGAGCACGGTTGAGTGGATAGAGAAGACATCCCACAGGCCGGAGAGAGCCTGGTTGGGTGGCTGGAGAGAACCTCCCACAGACCACAGAGATCCGGGTCGGGTGGATGGAGAGGACCTCCCATGGGCAACAGTGCTCCCCGTTGGCCATAAAGACCTGTGTAGGATGGATAGAGCGGCCCCCGCTGCTCCTACAGCTCCCCGTTGGGCGCGCAGAGGCCCTCCCTCCCCACGGGGGCAGACGTGGAGCCCCTCGACCCCCAGAGCCCCGCGGTGCCCCTCACCAGCTCATCCAGGTTCCTCAGGTCGCACAGGGAGACGCGCTGTGCCTGCCCGGGGTACGCGGGTGACGTGGGGCGCAGGGCCTGGCTGCCTCTGGGTGCCCCCAGCACCCCACACGTTTGGTCCCGCAGCTCCTCCTCGATTTCCTCCTCCATCTGGATCAGCATGGGGGCCAGCATGCCGAATTTGGAGCCCCTCCTGGCCACCTCCAGCAGGCAGAGGATGACGTTTTTCTCATTCTTCTTCAGCACCAAGTCGTTGGTCTCGAACATGAGGACATCCTGAATGCCCAGATCCTGCCGGCACCAGCGGATGAAGTTGGAGACGTTATCTCTGGCGACGAAGGAGCCGGGCGCCACGTTCCTGGCCTGGAAGGTGACCTCGTTGCGGGGGATGCGGGCGGCCGCCTCGGGGTGCCGCTGCTGGAACTCCAAGGCCACACGGTTGACGTTGTTGGCGTGCTGGCAGAGGTCGCAGCCCGTGGCCAGCGCCTCCAGGAAGGTGTCAGCCGCCATGTCCAGGTCGTAGAGCGCGTTGAACCACTCGGCCAGGTCCTCCTTCATGGCCTCCAGGTATTCCTCGCTCGAGCGGAAGGGGCGGATGCTCTTGGAGGCCGCCGACTGGATGTTGCTCTGGTCGGCCATGGTGAGCTGCAGAGGATGGGGGGGAAGGCAGCGTTACAGGGGACCCCGTGCCACGTGTCCCCCCAGACCCTGGGATGTCACCACTGCCACCAGCATCCCCCGTCTTCTGCACCCCGTGTCGCCCCCCATCTCCTGAGCTGGGCTTAAGGACTCCCCAGTCCCCAGCGGTGCCCCCCCCTCTGGAGCTGCCCAGTGTCATCTGCGGGGCTGGGGGGTGGCTGTGAGGGGAGCCCCCCTGGCTGACCCCACGGGGGTCTCTGGTGGGGATGCTGCACTGGCAGGGGTTCCCACCTGCCTTTCCCCATCGGGAAACTGCTGAACCCCCGGCCTGGGGGTGCAGGGGGTGGGGGCACACCTCAGCCCCAACATTTTGGGGACCCATGCCCGTGGGGGGCTCTGATGTGTCCAGGGGGGTGGGTTACCGGTGGAGGGGTTACTGGGGGGCCGCTCTGATTGGGGAGCTCTTTGCTGGAGGATACGGGGAGGGTGAAAGGGGGAGTCTCTCCTTGGGGGTCGGTGCCGGGGGGGCCACGGGAAGTGCGGCCCCAGGGGATGGCGGCAGCGGGCCGGCACCTGCGCGGCAGATGCGGGGCCGGGGGGAGGGGGATGGGGGGAGGAGGACACGGGGACACGCGCGCAGCCCCCAACCCTCCCCATCCCGGCACTCACCGCCGCCTCCGCGCTCCGCTCCCTCCGGGCCGCGCCGCTCCGCCGCCCGCTCCCCGCTCCGGGTCGGGCTCTGACCGTCGGGGGAGCTCCGTCGCCGCCGCCGCCTCCCGGCCCCGCACCCCCGCCGCCATCCGCCGCGGCCCCGCGCAGCGGAGCGGAGCAGAGAACGGAGCGCAGAGCAAAAACGTCCGCAGCCCCGCCGCGCCGCGCCCCGGCCGGGGAAGTTGGAGGCGGCCCAGAAAGGGCCGGGATGGGAGCGGCGGGGGCGGGGGCAACGGCCGGGCCGCGGAGCTGCGGAGCTGCGGAGCTGCGATGGGGGGCGCGACCACGGGGGGGGGGGGGGGGCGAAAACACGATGGGGGACGTCGGCAGTGGGGACGCGGGGGCACCAACGCGGGGATCGCAGCCGCGGGATGCGGAGCGGCCCCCTTCGCCCCCCGCCGCAAACGGAGCGGCGTTCGGCCTCGGCCCCGTAAAATGGGGAAAGCGAGGCGGGACCGAGCCGCCGGCGCTGCCGTTGGGACCCCCGGGTGTCACCGCGAGCAACGAGCGAACAACGCCCAGCCGTGGGTGCCGGGGGAGCGGAGGAACGTCCGCCCGGTGCCGGGGCTGCGGGGTCGGAGCCGCGGCCGAACTCCGCGCTGCTGCGGAGCGGCGTCAGGGCGGGCGGCTCGGCGCGGAGCTCCCAGCTGCCAGCCGTCACAGCACACGGAGCGCGGGGCAGCAGGGAACCCTGCGAGGGCTTGGGGGGGAGAGGGGGGAACGTTCTCAAGAGAGTCCAGAAGTGGTACGTTTATAAACATTCGGAATTTTATTTTAATTAAAAAAAAAAGGAAAGAAAAAAAAGAAAAAAAAAAAAACCAACCGAAAAAAGGAAACATCACAACCATCAACATCGTTACAGCTATTAGTCGGCGCCGCTGGGGGCTGCGCGGCGATACGAGCATGCTCACAACGAGGGGGGGCAGTTTTAGTTCGACAACCATTCTTAGAAGGGGGGAGGAGGAAAAAAGAAGTCGGCACACTACCGTTGAACTTCGTTTTAATGTTTCTCCACAAACGGTGAAAAAGACTAAAGTACAGACGAGGAATAATCATAATGTTGCGGCCAACATTATAAATATGGAATTATAAATTTAAAACATTTTCTGGTTTTAAAAAATAAATCTGGTAGTAAATGCAGCCGGGCGGGCTGTGCCGTTAGTAGGGCCGGTCTCTGCGCTCCTGGCGGTGCTCCCCCCTGCAAGCACACAGCAGTCGGTCAGTGCCACAGCCCTCCCAGCTCCGCTCCGTGGGTCTGGGGACGCTGCGCCCCGCCGGCTCCCCCTCGCCCTCCCCCCCGCCCGCTCCCCACATACTTGTCCATCTTCCCCGGGCCTCCGCGCCTTCCGCCTCTGCCTCCTCCTCCCATCTGGTCCATAAGCGGGCCGGGCGGACCCCCGGGGCCCCCTCCTCGCCGGCCCCCTCCTCCGTAGCCGCCTCGATCCATGCCCCGGCCGCCCCTGAATCCGCCTCTGTCTCCGCCGCGGCCGCCTCTGAACATCCCGCCGGGGCCGCCGCGCTCCATCATACCGCCGCCTCTGCTGCCCCGCATTCCTCCGGGGCCGCCTCTACCGCGGTCTCCACCTGAGGGAGAGGCAAAGCTTCAGAGCAGGGAGCGCCGGAGCGCCTCGCAGCCCTCCTCCCGCTCGCCGCATCGCAGCTGGGGCGCGCCGTGCTGAAAGGAGAGCCGCGGGGGGCGGCGGCACCCCGGTGCGCAGCGAAGGATGAGCTTCCGGGCACGCAGGCGGTACGGCCACGGGCTCAGGATGGCAGCGGCTGAGCTGGAGGGGGACCGAGCGGCTGATGGATGGCAGAAAGGAAAACCACAGAGCTGAGGGACGAGGGGCTCACAGAGAGGGCAGCGCCGGGGAGCAAGGAGGTGAAAGCGGTGCTCTGGAGAAGGGACGTGCGGCACAGAGCCGCGGGGAAGCGTGCGAGGGCTGCAGGCCGTGCATCCGCCTCGCAGCTCAGAGCACGGCTGCCCGGGGGGCAGGAAGCTGCCGCTCCCTCAACATCCCTACGGCGGTCACAAAACCGCCGGTGCCACCGACCCAGCCCTGCTGTGAACTCAGCCCCACGTACCTGGAGGGGGAAATGGGGGTGGGAGGAACCCTTCTGGTTTAGGAGCCTTGCACTGATTGCACTCTGTTCTCCAAGCGAAGTTCTGGTTTCCACATCCCCTACGCATAACAGAGCAGTCAGTAAGAAGCAGGATTGGGTGACACCCAGCAGCGCTGCAGGGCACAGATCCACCCGCACGCAGCAGGGGGATGTCAGGACCCGGAGCACGGCGTGCAGCCCAGCTCCCCCAGCCTGCAGCACGGGGCTGCGATGCTCCACGCTCTGGGGAGGGGAAAGAAGCTCCCCGAAGACCCAGCAAGTCGTTAGGAGAAAGACCCGCATGTCTTGGCCAGTGCCTCAGCCAGCACAGCCCCCCTGCGCTGGGATGGACGGCGTCCCACAGCCCCGCAGAAGGGAAAGGAAGGGAAGGTGTTCCGTGCAGGGAGGGCAGGCGGTACTCACGGGTTGGGGCACTGCCAGTCCCCGGCACGGTGCTGCACGCTGCCTCCAGAGGGGTTTCCCCTGGATCCCCGTGGTCCTCTGGAGGAGAAGCCTCCCCTGTCGCCACCTCTGCCTCCCATCCGGCCCATGGGACCGCTCGGCCCACCGGGGCCCCCCGGGCCTCCAGGCCCCCCAGGACCTGCAAGGAGAGCCCCGTTAACAGCGCCGGGCAGCAGCTGCAGGTGGAGGATGCTGTGCTGCAGGCTGAGCCCCGCAGGAGCCCAAGGGAAGCGGGTGTTACCTCCACGGAGAGGGGGAGGCATCCCCCGCTGATCCCGTGGGGGCATCCCACCCCTCATGCTGTTCATCGGGCCCTTCTTCCGCGCGAGGCTGACTTTGAGCTTGCTGCCCTGGAAGTCCTTCCCTAGGAGGAACACAAAGGCAAGAGCCTCATTTTGTGCTTCTGTAGAGCCCGGTATCACACACATCTTCCCGGAGCACACACAGATGCACGGAGTCCATAATCCCATGGGAAACTGCAGAGCAGAAGGGCCATCCTGAAACATCACACCCCACACTCACCATCAAACCACTCAACAGCTGTTTTGGCAGTGGATGGGTCATCATAAGAGACTGTGGCATCTCCTTTTGGTTTGCCAGTTTCTTTGTCAATGTAGAGGTGTATCATGGGCTGCCCAGTCCTCTTGTTCATCTAGCAGGACAGCAAAGCATTATTACAAGGCATCACACGTCCCTGTACACACTGAGTGGGGATTCTCTCCTCTGTTCTGCTTTTGATTTCAGATAACGGTTCCACTTGGCAACTCCGTGGTAGGAGAAAGGGCCCTCTGGCTTTACCATGCCAACCAAATGCAGGAACTGGCCCAGCAGCCTCTCCTGCAGGCTCCCACAAGAGCAGGAATTGAGCTGCAGCCTCCCCACATCCTCCTCCGCTCTCTCCACCACCCTGCTCTCTCAAGCTGTCACACATCCCACCAGCAGCAGATGCACAGAGGGATGCTTCCTCTGAGTCTGTAAGCACTGCAGCTTCTGCGTGGCTGACGGAGGAGCAGAGGGGCAAACCCTGCCGAGGTTCTGTTGGGGAGCTTGTGCTACAGGGCGGTCCCAGGCTGTGCCGACCTCACTGCCCATCAGAGCTGCTCAGCTCCATGGATGGGGCTGAATGGGACAGCTGGCAGGGAGGAGGCAGCCAAGCCCCTTCTCTGTGCTCTGTGCCATCACACACATACACACACACACACACCTCTCACCTTGACAACCCCGCACTGTTTGAAGAAGTCTGCCAGATCCTCCAGGGTCACATTATCATTGAGTCCCTGCACATACACTGAGCTGTTGTCCGAGTCCTCATCCGGGTCCATAGGTGGGCCTAGGAGGCAAACCTCAGCATCAGGCAGCGGCAGGAGGCAGCAATCCAGCAGCGCAGCACTGCCAGCACGTCAGCCCTCAGCCAGCTGCAGCTTCTCTCTCAATAAGTGCATTTACGAAGCGACACGGAACTGCAGGCGCTGAGAGCAGCGCTGAGGGCTGAGCTGCCCCGTCTGCTCCCTGCTGCAGAGCCACCCAGCATGGCCGGGACACCCAGCTGCAGTGTGAGACCTGTGCAATGGGGCAGGAGGGAGAGCCGAAGGCACAGCACGCCTCTGCAGCCTGCAGGTCCCATGCAGGGATGCTCACCCCCTCCTGCTGCAATAATTCCCTCCTTCCCTGCGCTGAGGGGGAGCTACCAAACGTGGCTGTGCAGGAGGAAGCAAAGGGCTGCGGGCAGGGGTGGCCCAGGCTGCCCAGAGAAGTGGTGGTGCCCCATCCCTGCAGACACCAAGGTGAGGGGATGGGGCTGCGAGCACTGATGGGGCTGTAGGTGTCCCTGCTGGTCGCAGGGGCGGTTGGATAAGTCGGCCTTTGAGGGCCCCTTCCGACTCAAACCATTCTAGGATCTTATAAGAGGAAGGAGACTGCTGGACAAGCGCCTACAAGCTCCAGACTGCTGCAGCCTGGGACGTGCTTTCTGCTGCTCCAGGCAGCTCCTTGGCAAGAGCCCCCAGCTCCACGGAGAAGCACAAGCATCTCCAAACACGTGTGGGCTCCCACCAGTCCAAGCGCTCTGATGAATCAGGAATAAAGAAGCAGATGAAACCTCCCCAAAGAGACTGCAAAGAGCAGAGCATCTCTGTACTCCTGCTACAGGAGGGCAAGATAAGGGGCAACATCTTCTGCGAGCTGGGATGAGCACAGCAATCTGCACGCCGCAAGCCTGGGAGGGGCCGAGCAGTGACAATTACCTAAGTCAAGGTCCGGTCCTTCCTCCATGTGTCCTGCCAGTCGGGAGAGAACCATAAGAAGCAGTGTTAGTGCAGGCCTTGCAGCTGCAGGAGCGACACACACATCACTATCTACTTATCACCACCATTCGATGGCGCTGGTTAAACTCCAACTGACCCGCACTGCAAAACCACCAGCAATGCA